TCGTCTTACCTGCACGGGCTATCCATCGTGACGCTTCCGTCGCCGCAATGGTGCGGCAACGCGATGTTCCCGAACGTGGCGATTATCACGCACGACGGACACGTCACCAGCTCGAGACTGCACTGAGCGTGCGAGCTGTTGCTCGCGTACACTCGCGAGCCCTCATGCTGCCTAGCCTCGTTTCTCACGAACGAGACGTTCTTCGCGTACAGTATGCCCTTCTCGCCCAGCTCCAGATACAACCGCCGTCCGTTTTGAACGCCGCAGATGTCCTCGTTCCGTACCACGTTCCCCTCGTGGCCTCTCGCCACCGTCCACCAAAGCAGCCCCATCCCTACAATCGCTTTTACCGCCAACATTGCGCGCTATACCACTTCCGCTTCCGCTTCTCACCGTTAGCCAGGTGTGAAAACGATCGCCTCTTCTCTCGAACGAAGCAAACTCCTCTTCTGCTCGTTCGAGAAAAACTGCCATCGCGATTACGCGCGTAATTTCATTAGCTCGCAACGTTGTTACGTACCTCCTTATTACCGTATAAAGCATTTCTATGGTATCCTTTGCCTGTAGTAGTTCTCCTCGCCCTTCTTCTTTTCCTCTTTCACCGATCTGCCTCGCTTCGGAACCATTCCCTACGCAAAACACACCTTTCGTCTCTTTCTCATCGTTTTCGACAAGTTAGCCGCGTTAGTTTCTACAAATACACGCAATTCTATTCTCTCTGGTTAAGAGAATCTGATTAAGAGAAACTTGGGCGACGTACGTTCGTTCGTCGTAGCCAATCGTCGATCCGCCCCGGAAATGCTACTACCTTCCATTTGATTACGAGATTTTCTCAACTCGTAAATCGCAAACGCTTCCCTCCGTATCCGCCGTCTCTCGTAGAGCGCGCCTTTCGAATTTTAGTTGCAAGAACCGACGTTAGACGTCTCTGCGAGAAAGACACGGCGAGAGCGAGAGAGATCGCTTACGTTGTCAAAACAAAAACACAGGCATGAAAGAGGACGAATTGTTGTCAGAAGCGCAAGAGTACTCGGATAATATGTCAAACATGGATCTGGCCATTAATTTGGAAAGACAAAGATTCCCATTTTGTATAGTTTGGACGCCACTGCCGATTCTGACGTGAGTAAAGCTGACGATGAAATAACCTCTATCGCTGATCTCTGTCTGCGTTTCCCTATCTCTCCGTGACCGATATACTTTCTCCAGTTTACTTTCGCTTGTTTCGTTGTTGAGGTATTTTTTACCGATCATCGGTCACATGGGCATCGCCACGTCCACCGGTGT